TCTTCGGCAGACATTGCGGTGCTTGATATTAAAAATGGAGCCCTTAAGCTTATAAACCAAAGACTAGGCCTAAGACCAACGCGAAACAACTCCGTCGCTGTAGTCTCAAATTTTCCTGCGTTTTGATCTGTTGCAACGATATTTGTAGGGAGAGATGGTGGGGGTTTGAAGGTTGTCGCAATAAATCCTAAAATGAGTCACTTTCTTGTGAATCCGTATATTTTCAAGCTGGAGGGGAACGAAGTCTTCAATAATGGTTTATTCTGAGTATGTTTTGGGATGGTATTGTTGAAAATGGGTTTGAACCTGGAGGACCGGAATAGTTCACTGTTTTTGTTTGATGATTCGAGTTGTATGTATCGGTATTAATATTGTTCGAAAGGCTGAAGAATTAAAGATTACAGTAGCGTTATTTTATCCCTGCAAAAAACAGTGTGGTGCGGATCAGCCTTAGTAAGCGAAACGCGGGGCATCAGATTTCGGCTCGGGTAAATGAAGTTTAGGGAGGGGTTTTGATGCCAGATGAAGACTCTGAAGTTCATTCAATCACGACATTAGAATGTTTTATTTCTCAAATACTATATACCACGTATGAGGCTAAATAGTCTTAAGGGTTCAGAGTCGTCAAGATTGGCATCGCTATAATACATGTTTCTCCTGCTGAATGATGGGTAGTAGATACCTTGCGAACTCTAGAATATTAATGAGCTTCGGGACAAGAATTTTTAGCTAGATATTTTCTACCTCTAACTAATTGGTCCTCTGGAGATTCTGTCTCATATCCGTATAATATCTACTCGAGCTCGCTCAAACAACTTATGCCCGATCATGGTTCCCTGCGTTCTCTCTTGCTGCGTAATCGATGCTGGGTATACTGTCAACTTTGCATATGTTCCCGCTCCTCTTCTTTTCGATAAATATCCTGGGTTAATAACTAACACGCTTTCTACAACCTATATGTCTCAAGGTTAGTAATTTTATCTCATGATGAACGTCCTTGATTAATCTGAACAAGGGTTTTGTAAAGATCACACACCTTGGCGAAGGGGGGTAGCGAACTTGGAACCACCAACAGATCCGGCCTCACATTGATCATCTCCCCCAACTTCAAGTAACTTGTATCTAGCATCGCTCCCACGGGGATCCCATCCTCCGTCCCGGTTTTCGGCAATTGAGTTCTCTGAACTGGTGGAAATAGGGGGAAAAAATGACGTTGCTCAATCAAATACTTGGGCAATCGAGCGAGCAAGGTAGGGTCCTGTGGTTTCCCGCCAATGATTTCTTCATGCCGCAGTTCATACAAGATATCTTGGGAGGAGATACCCATGACGATTTCGTTCAGTGCAATAGTCATAGGATTACCGATGACGCGGACAGCTTTGGGGAGTCCAACGTCTTTTTTTGGAAACGGTTCTTGAGGCCAGGCAGCATGTTTGTCGATAGCATCTTTGACTGAAGGAACAAGGAGTATGGTGATTCGGGCGTGAGTGGAAGTGAGTTGGGTGAAAGCTGGGGTAATAAGGTGTTTGAAGATGGCCGACATGGTGGCGGTGTCCGGATCAGCCAGAGCTTCCTCAGGGAGATCAAAATCTCCACTTGCAATTAAAGGATGATCGATATCAAGAAACGGGCCATTCAGAATTAGTACATCCGCGTAGGTATCCGCTGCTTGGCTACAAATTGCGTGTAGAGGTTCGAAGTCTAGATTGTCATCTGCTGTAAAGGGACCACTTCCAATAATAATGTTAAGAGGTGCAGGGTCAGAGTCTTCATCCATTGCATCTGGACCTCCTCGAAGTCTTCGAACATGTTCATCAAGGCCAGCAGGCGTGGATGCAGCAACACCTAGAAGAGGAGGCTCAAGAATCTCGCTAACTGTAAAATCTTCCCCTGAAGCATTTATTCCCTTCAGTGCAACTATCTGCCCAGGGAAGAATTGGAATCCACTCATCTTATCAACTTTGAGTGGTATTCGTAATCCAGCACCCATCCTTCGCGAAGTTTCAAGTACAATTGAAGACTGATTAAGCTTTCCTTCGGCCGAGTCGCATGCAATCCTCCCAACTGATACTATTTCATTCGTACTTTGACTTGCTGCACTACCGAAGTCCGAGTCATCTAGCTTGTGATGTGCTTGTATGAGAAGCATGAACTCGTCTATACGGTCATCCAATATTTCTGACGCTTCTGATGATTTCATGACCATTGTTTTGTAAGATAATTTCTTCATATCTGAATTGGCCGTAAGTTTGATTCTTGATTCTGGATATGGAGCAATTGGAGGCTCTGGTAGCTCGAGATGGTCATTCAGAACTTCTATAGTTTGGCCGGCGAACTTTCTATCGTTGAATGAAGTTCTATATTTTGTCAGTGTTGGGCGATTTCAGAAGAACGTGATACCATACGGAGCATACGAAGAGCCGGCTCCAGCTTCAGCGCCAATATCAACCTCCCTTGGATTTTTCGATGCCCTGAAGTCTGGAGGGCTGCTAGCCGGTTCTGCTTTCACTCTTGACATCGAAGGTGTTTCTACTTTGCGTTTCGGCCGTGAACTCATCCCACTTCGGGGGGTATTTGGAGCGATATCTAGCCTACGTCACGTTACTATGAGTAAAGATCAACTTGATAATTCAAGAACCTGCTTACATTCCAAAAACATCATTATTGTTTCCTGCATTTCGAGGCGTAGCTCCCACTCTTTTATTCGACGTTTGAGCCTTAGTTTTCCGATTCTCCTTTTCCAATCCATCTTGCACACTTTGCTTGAGCGCTCTAACAGTATCGATATCCAATTTCATATCATCCTGTCCCATTTTTATGCTATATGACTCCCATTTGTAGAAAAGCTCCTGCGGGGGTATTGAATGTAATCGCATAATTGAATTCAATTCTGTGAGTACATCTGGCTCAAGGGGTCCACCTGAGGGAGTCGCAGATGAAAACAATCCATTAAGCTCACTATCGTTTTCCGCCATTTTGAGACTGTTGTGTGGAAAAATCGTTGATATTGTTAAGTTCGGTCAGGTTTGATCTTGGAAGAGATATTTGGGGAGACGCGTTTTAACGCGCTTCGATACCATAAAACTAAATTGATTTTCACGAGTTTGCGCCACGAACAAGCCACAATTCATCAAATGATTCAATAGCCGGGGCCTGGTAGGTAAACCTTGGAACCCTTTTTCAAATAATGGATAACACTCGTAACAAAATATGTTTCTGTTATAATTTCTCCTACAATTACGTTCTATCTCTCTTGGCAAATGTCTCATCAATTGAGAAGTGGTAACAAAATAAAAATTCACCAATGGAACACCCATAAGGCTGAGCTAGCACCACATTTTTAGATTGCAACAAGTCGGTGTCAGGACATAAGTTACTAATTACCTACCCCTTGACTTCTGTGTCATCTTGTCTTCGGGAGTTGACTGATTGAATACGGAGTATACTATTTTGCAATCAAGCGTCTATTCTACTATTCAAAATGTCAACAGAGAATCAAATCGAAGTCGCAGGCATAGAAAAAGAGATGGCTGGTGTTAGTCTAGGAGGTCCTACTAATGGGCAGATATCTTTAGCTTCAATTGAGGGAAAAGGACCAAGTCCTCTTAAACCACCATTTCTCAACCCTCTCGAGTCCTCGAAGCCTCCTCTTTCGCCGGAACTTACAGAAGAAGAACAGAAGAAGTACGATGCGCTGTTAGAAACCGTCAAGTCATGGACTGAAATTCCAGCTAAAGATTCAAAAGGGGGGCCTATCACAGATAGTGAAAAGTTATGGTTAACAAGAGAATGTCTATGCCGATACTTGCGAGCAACAAAATGGTCCGCTACTGAAGCACCAAAACGACTATTAGAGACTTTGACTTGGAGGCGGGAGTACGGTGTGAGCGATCTTACTGGCGACGACCTTTCAATCGAGAACGAAACCGGCAAGCAGTTCATCTTGGGTTATGATAACGAAGGACGTCCATGTCATTACTTGAATCCTGGCAGACAAAATACGGAACCAAATCCCAAGCAAGTACAACATTTGGTATTCATGCTCGAGCGATGTATCGACTTGATGATTCCAGGCCAGTTCACGCTCGCGTTGTTGATCAATTTCAAGTCCAGTAAGAGCAGATCGAATACAGCGCCTGGCATTGGGCAAGCTAGAGAAGTCTTGAACATTCTTCAAACTCACTACCCTGAACGACTTGGGAGAGCCTTGATTATCAACAGTAAGTCTCCTACTTGACGGACAAATTATTTGCTAATTCCTTATAAGTTCCTTGGATGGTGAACGGCTTTTTCAAGCTCATCACCCCGTTCATTGATCCCTTGACCAAGGCGAAGTTGAAGTTCAATGATGATATGAAACAACACGTACCTCCTCAACAGCTCTGGGCTGAGTTTGATGGAGAGCTTGCATTCGAGTATGATCATGCAACCTATTGGCCGGAGTTAATCAAACAATGTGAGGGACGTCAACAAAGTGCTTTTGAGCGTTGGGTCCAGGCGGGGAAGCATATTGGAGAAAGTGAAGTTTATTTGAAGGGTGCAAATGTTCCTAGCATCAGCGGCGGCACTATTGGGGAAATTTCATCAAATGGCCATGCCGTCGAACCGAAAACACTCGGGACATTGTCCGAGATATCAGGAGACATTAATGGAAAATCCGAGAAGAATGACGCGGCATGAAGTCAATAGAAAAGGCTGTACAAATGATTTGCTTGCAATAGGATAGAATAGACTAGATATTAATAAATGAAATAAATGATAATTCTAACCACACCTGAACCTTGTATATACTATCGGACAATATTTCTGAAGAACTTGGACAATGATGCTACCCCCTCGCTTGGTAATTGACCTCGCCCTCAATTTCAGCAGCCTTGCGACAACCCCCCAAATCATACCAACACATTCAACTTCACACAAATCACAAAGTTTGTAACTATCTTACAACGCCAGATCAAATAGTATATCCAACTACGCGCGACCGATAATTCATCAATTAAATGTCCTCCCAACCCGTGAAACCGCCGTTGGCCGGCCAAGTTTCTCATACTCAACGAGGCTCCCAGTCAGGGCTGCGGTATCCTTCCACCGGCAAAACGATATACCATAGACCATTGAATCGCAGTAAAACGCAGGAACTAAGTCAAGCCAGCTTTGCATATCTATTTGGGGAGATGGTTAGTTATGCACAACGACGGGTTACTGGTATTCAAGATCTCGAGAAGCGGTAAGATTTCTTTCACTACATGTCGAGTTTAGACAAACAACCTCTGTGAATAGAAAGTATGAATCTAACCAAAACATCAGGTTAAATGTTCAAGGTCACCCCATCGGCCTCAAACTCCTCGATCTTCTGCTCTACCGCGAACCACCACGTACCCAAACTCGACCCCTTAATATCATCGCCCTCCTCCAATTTATAACCACCGTTCTCTGGCGTCACCTCTTTTCTCGCCCTGCAGATGCACTCGAGAAGTCTTCGAACCCTGACACGCCAGAGGAATATATGATATCCGATAATGAACCTCTTGTTAATCAGTACATTAGTGTGCCTAAGGAAATGAATCAATTGAATTGTGCTGCGTTTGTCGCGGGCATTATTGAGGGTGTTTGTGATGGCGCAGGTTTTCCGGCTAGGGTTACGGCTCATAGTGTGGGAAGGGGGGAGGAAGGAGAGTTGTGGCCGGGGAAGACGGTGTTTTTGGTCAAGTTTCAAGAAGAGGTGGTAGAGAGAGAGGCATTTTTGGGGAAGAGTTAGGTTGAAGAGAAGTGAAATTTTATCATTTGGACCATGCAACGTATCCACGATCATACGCTGGGCGTAAAGTAGTATCATTGGGATGGAGTTTATGGTTAATATCTGGGTCTGTCTTCTGTCCCGCAGTCGTCTTGCTCGACTAGATACGACATGAAAGAGCACAAATGCTTCTCAGCATCCATCTATTTGACTTTTCTACCAACACATTACTTCTCAGTTCGGAACTAATTGCACTTCCTTTACTTGTTCACAAAGGAAGATCGCAATCGTGCCATCATATCACATGGCTTGATCTCCAACATTAAGGACTCGAAATGACGATGTGGTTTTGGCAGCCGTCTGTCGAGGTCCATTCCACAAACGTCTGTCCCAACCCCAGAAAGTAGGGCACACAATGATAAAGCAGAGATATAACCACCAATAGGCACTATGAGCAAAATAATCAAATCGAAGAGGAGTCGTTTAGAGCGTCTCCATGCCGTCTTCCTGACGCCTGTATCTCTGGAAGCAGAGTCATGTGGCGCCATAGTCACCAGCATCCCAACATTCCTTGTTTAGGCTTCTTTATGAAAGATATAAAATCCATAAGATTTCTCTTTGGGTATTGACGTAATATGATAATATCCTTGAAGTTGATCATGCCAGTCCAACCTTCGTGCCAGTAATATATTGTTCTCAGTTCCTAGAATCCCTTCAACCTTCCTCTCTCAAACGATCGCGGAATGCCAAACTCCGTCATTAGTTCCCATCAGATTATACGCCGATTTAACTCCGAAATCTCTTCACATTCGTTCACCTTGGAAGACTTCTTATGCCCTTATAACTTCCTCCTTCACTTCTACTTTTACCACCTGGACCTTTCTTCATCAATTCTGCTAATCCTAAATCTTTCCAAGCGGGCTCTTTTGTCTTTTGTGTCGCCCTCTGAATCCCAAATGCTGCATGTTGATCAGGAACAACATCGTCTTCGTCTTCGGGGTTTACTGGTTGATTGTGTGGTGGTACATAGATGTCATCGTCGGGAAGTTTGTCTTTGCAGAAGTCCTCGAAAAGATCCGCTGTGCGGGATAGTGTGAAATGGACATAAGTGTGATTTGAATCTTTAGACTATGTCATTATTAGTGAGTAGTAATAGTATAAATATAAAGGAGTCAATCATGAGTGATTTCCTATGGATTCGTACCATTTTCGGTTTTTGTAGAGTGAAATAGAAAATAGAAGGTTTATTATTGCAACTGTTTTGTTTACTCTCTCCTCACTACTGCTCGAGTAATTGATGATAAGTGATAAGTCAAGTCAAATACGAGGCTATAATTTTAGGCGAGGCTGTTTATCTGTCTTCTGTCTTATCTGCAAGGCTACCCGAAGTAAGCAGAATTTCAGTTCGGAATTTGTTTATTCCGCGGTACTTGCTGCATGCCTTAGTCTTCAGGCTCTAGACTAAAAACATCATTTGTGCGAAACTTCGCTTAGAGTTCAATAAGCCCTTCCAGTCAAATTGAACATTACGAACTCCACGACAACAACGATTTTCGCAAACTCCAAGCACCCCAACACCGCCGACAACAGTCCTCGCCAAAATCAGACAACATGTCTCACGAATCAGTTTGGATGTCCAGACCCCGTACCTACGGAAAGGGATCCCGCGAATGGTATGTGGAGAATTAATCGCAATTTGCGATTTCGTCAAGGATCACCAATGATCTGAATCGAGAAAATTCATTTCTAACACACTTAACAGTCGCGTTTGCACCCACAAGGCCGGTTTGATCCGCAAGTACGGTCTTAACATCTGCAGACAATGCTTCAGAGAGAAGGCAGCCGATATTGGATTCGTCAAGGTACGCTCGCTGAAGAATCTACGCATCATCTCACTTTACACCAACAAATCCTTCGATCGTCAAAACTGGATAGAATTACCACTAACAAAACTTGTAGCACCGTTAAATTCACCACACCTCGAAAATCAACTCGTCGAGAACGGAACGATACGACAACGATGGGTTTGTGGAGAGGATCAAATTAACATGGCATGGAGTTCTGGGCTTTTGCAGGAAAAGGGATACGAAAGAGGACATTTATGGTCAGACTTTAGAGGGCATTTTCAAATGAAGGGAGGAACGCTTATGTACACTCGTGTGCTGAGGTAGCTCTGCGATGGATTGTTCTCAAGGTTATGACACCTTTTCAACTGCATTGATCTGGAATGGAGATGGTTCTTTTTCCTAGGGTCATTTGAGCTCATGTTCATTTGGCTTCGGCTAGGAAGTAGCTTTCTCGGAATATATCAGGTCGTTTTCCTTGAGATATTATGGATTACTCGGATTGTGCTTTTTGAACTGAGTGAGTGATCATATTATAAATGTAGGAGATTCTAGGTAGGGTGGAAGGTCAAGTGGCCTTTCACTGGCCCCGATCTAGTGAGTGAGGGCTCGATGGATTGATACGCATGGCGCAAATCAAACCCGCCTGGTCGAATCCGCAATTTTGTCTCCATCTACGACCATGAACGCGGCCCAAAAATTCTCACATATACTCATTTGGAGGGTCAACGATTCTCATCAATCTACCGAGGACGAAAGATCTGTCTACACCCATGTCTGGCCGAAATCACAATTCTGCTCCCACATTCCTCTCATAACAGGAATATAGCCCAAATCTTCTTTGCCGTTCTGATTTTCTCAAACATGCCACATATTATCAAGTTATAGAATAAAACAATAGTTCGCCTAGGAAATTTGTGCCTGCCAAATGTGCTATTTTAAAAACATTGTGCAGTACTGAAATTCGTGAGATTTTTATATCAACTTCGAGTGAGCTATTGGTTGAATTTCATTGAGGTTCTTGCCCATGCAAGGAAAATGTCCACAGAATCTATATTTCATTGCACATGGACTCTGAAGTGGTAGTCACATTCTAATGATCATATTGTAAAAGCTAGCTCTATGAATATCAAAGGTGCTCTTTCCTTTGCAAGATAGGAAGGTTTTCCTGGAGCTATTTTGTTATTTTGTCCATGCCATTTGTGCCCAATCACTCTATTAATTAACTAGAAGTTCTTCGTATTCAACGGTTAACACAAGAATGATTCCATACTCGGCACCTTGCTCAATTTTGTCAAATTCTGGAGCTATAATATACCCATTACAATATGACCCTAAGAGCTTCACCAGCAATACGCCATGGTTTTACTACAAGAAAACATGATAAAATTCTAGCACAACATGAATATCATCATTACCATGCTAGCATCTCACAGTTTCCCGTTAATACGTCGATACTTTAAAAGCTCAATGAATGCAGCTACTCATTTCTCGTCAAACCAATACTTTACATCACCGATAACGATCTCACATTCATATTCATATTCACAACCTGGTTCAATTTTGTTTTGTTATTTAACTCTTAAGCATCCATGATCTTGGCTCAAGATCGTTGTTCAAATCCTAAATCCTGCATCCAACGCACATACTCCATAAACCAAATTCGATATATACACAAAATAACAAGCGCTTGACATATCACAATCCAGTTATGTAGTAATTCCAACCTCATCAACCATCGTCATCGGATTTGCTCTCCCCCATTGAAAATTTAACTGTAAATCTCGGTGAGTTCGGCGAGATAGGGCTCAGGGCCAAAGTGGTCGTAATTGGACGGGCGAGGAATCAATGCGAAATTCGAATGTGAAGTCGGCGATTCGTATTCTTCAAGGTGATGTAAAGCCCACTCCAACAATAATTTCATTCCTTCGTACTGGCGGTCCGCGGATAATTCTCCAGGATTAATGTCCATAGAGTCTTCGGGGCACATCATGAAGACAATGAGGAGGCGTTGCGTTGGATCCGGATAGCCTTCATTGTGCTGGTGCTGCCACTCGATAACCTTGATGAGTTCACGAAGGCTACTCTTCTGCTCTTCAGACAACCCCTGCAAGAGATTTGGAGAGAGCAAGCCTAAGTAAGAACTCTCGTCACATGAACACTTATGCTGCACATGTAAAAGCTCTTCTTCGTATCCTTCAAATAGCTCTTCGACGAATTCGACTGGCCATTTATGTCGACACATTGGGCAGGTACCTTCGTGATCCATCGATGTTTGCTCATTTGCCCACGATCGAAGACATGCTCCGTGGAAAGTCCGTTTGCAACAATGGTCCATTCGTATGTTATTTTTCGGTTCGTCCATTCTATCGCAACAGATAGGACAGTCATCGACGACTTCTGGCGTGCTTTTGGGGGTCAGTTGGATATTTGGTGATATCGAAAGATTTACCCTTTCTATGGACAAAGTGGTGGTGGTAACGGATTTAACTGACATTTTTTTAATTCCCTTCTTTCCATTTTTCTGGTTTCTGTTTTTCCTATTCTTATGCGGCATGATTCTTTGTGGCGTTTGAAAAGGGAGGTTCTCAATAAAGTTGATTGAGAATAATAAGGCGGCGAAGATAATCTTTAAAGTATAAGAATGACTTGGAGGAATCTTGGTCAATTAGATTGAGAAGAGAGGCTTGAAGTTATGTTCTAAAGTTATCCTATGTGAGATGTGATATGTCTGATATGTCTGGAAAGAAAAGAAAATCCAGGAGCTGGGGGAACATCAGAACCTATATACCTAAATTGTGGTCTAGTTTCTCACTAAAAAAAATTGAAACTGCTGTCATGAAGAATGTGGGGGAAAAGACTACTAGGCGCTAAGCGAGACTTAGGGGTAAAAATCTGGTAGCTTTGTAGATCTTGGTAACCTAAAATGGTTAGCATTCACAACATTCTGAAATTTGTATCGAGCTAGTCTAGAACTGATCTTCTAACTCGAAAACTTTCGTCCTGCTGTCCTCATTGAGGACAGATTTCTACCTGCAATTGGACACATGTGAAATGTAATCATATAAATGACGCGATACTAAGGTTTCATATTTGAAATTTTCTTTTCTTAGCTTTGCAGTAGTCTAGATAGGAATGACAGATGGAGCGACTTTAGCCAGGAAAGTTTCATGTTTTACCTGCGTGAAAAATACGATCGGGACAATCAGATACTGGGGGGTTTGCAAAGGACAAGGCAATTGTGTCCAAGTCTGTCTGACGATTGAGGACATTCAAAATCCAGACTTGTAGACTGGATACACGCTCATAATCTCTGCAAGCATTGTAGCGTTCAAAACAAATTAATCATCTCAAACACATCGGAGAGTTGTGGGATAACCATACTATCGATTCGTAGCTCAGATCATATCCATCAACGCTCTATCCTTGACTGGCCATTATCCCATTACAAACATACACCTAATCCCATCTGAACTCCAGGTATCGGAAATTATCGGAGTATATACGTTCTAAATCATGTATTATTCATACGATATTTAAGTATCTAGCTTATTTCAGTCAAATCTTGGCATTCCGATCCTCATGACTTGAAGAAAATATTAGATTTTCAGCATTCGTCGACTAGATGCTATAACTAGCTTTGAAAAATGAAAAATTTCAAGTTTTAAACTACAATCTGGCCTTTTGATCTCGCCAAGGTTGCGAAGTTGTGAAGATTCCTCGAATCGCAGTTGGTCAGTATTTCTCGCATCTGCTTCCTTGGTTTCGGGTAAGACGTAAATAATCATCAAGGAGAATCTAGATGTCCATTCAATCTTTAGGTAAGTTATTGTGAGTCAATCGTATAGCCCACCAGATTTCATTAGTCTAACGAGAGTGCGTTCGGATCGAGTTTTGTGATCGATTAGATTCGATAGATTGGAGATTAGATCTAATATTGCATTTACCGAATGCAATACTGAAGCAAATACGCATTTACTCGAGTAAATACATGCATGTATTGAAGATGATATACTAAAATAGTAAATGACTTGACTTTCTCTTATACAACCATCAATTAAAACTTTTAGATATCATTAACTAAGATATTTGAAATTACAATTGACTCCTAGAGTTTCCAGCTCAATCCTACACGTCCCAATATTACTCCGATACTCCGAATGGATTAGTTCTATTACCTCATATCCTTACCATACTAATTATCTCTTCGCTTATAGACGAGAACGATCCGAACACACCCTAAGCGATGCCGATGTAGTAAAAGCATTGTATTCGATGATTGTCCATATCGATATTTGTCAAAGTCAAAGTTTGAAAATAGTAAATTAATATTTTTCATTGAACACATTCGTGATTTTGCATAAGTCATGCCTTTGCTTCAAATCAGAGTTTTAATATCTTTGGAAAACACCTACACGGAGACTTATATTGTGATGATTATTTATCGTATGAAAATTATGGAATCAAGAGAAGATGCATCTCTTGACGCCTATTCAATGCTAGCTAGTGTAAATGTAGGACGGTAACTTCTTTAACAATATCATTCGAATATGAACGGCGCCCATGAACTAGTAAACTAAACAACTTAAAAGTCGAGAAATGCTTTCCACACAGCTCTCCAAATCCCTAATATCACATACCTACGCTCACTCGTCTATTTCCAAACCAAGAAAACATCACTTTCCCAAACACACGAAAACAAGCAACCTGACTCGCTCACATAACCCTAGGATTTAGATATATCTCACATAAGTCTTTATTTTCACTTCTCATACCCAAATCCATCCATACCTATTCCCAATTTCCCATCATACAAACTCCTATTAATTCATTCAAAACCCCAAACCTACTTCCTCAAACTTCCCCCAATCTTACACTGCCTACCTAGCTAGAATAATTCTCCCTCCATCTCTATCTCCATCTTGAATTCGAACTCGAACTCGAAAGGTAAAAGAAATCAATAGAATCTGCTCAACATCATTTCTATACTCAAAATCTTGTAGAAAAATCACCATGATACCGTTATCTCTCTGTCTCATATTATTCTTACTCCCAGTTCTAACCGAATAGTTGACTTCGTGAAAAGAACCTAGACTGCGTGATGTCCTCAAATTGTTTATCACATTCCCAAAAGATATCCAGGTAAAGATAAAAATAGATTCACCACTACTTACCTAGCTTGATATGTTTCCCCTATATAATTTCAATCTTCCTCGACCAAACTTAATCCAAGCATCTAGCCCCTCGATTCATTCACTCATCTACAAATGCACTCAGGAACATCAAAAAGTATCAAGAAAAATCTTTCGATATTTATATTCAATATAAATATCTGGGTATCAATGATCCTCCTATTCATCTTTTCCTTTACATAAAATCCCATCATTAAAATCCGTCTTTTCATTTTCATACATCCATCAATCCACATGATTCTCAATTAGCAAGCAAAGGTAACGATCCACCATTGCCCATACATCCATCCACTTTTGAATTTTACACCATCATTAAATCATGCCTTATTTCGGCTAACGCCCCCAAGCTTTCCATCTCCTTCATTTGTTTCATCCACCAATTCTACCCTGTTCTAACCACTTCCAGTCTACAACTCAGACTTGGAAGTCTCATTAACAGCTGTAACACCATCATGATGAGCAACACTGGGACCAAGTTTATCCTCAGCATCAAACTCTCCTCTCTCCAAATGACCTGCTCTCTTATCAACACCTGTCTTCCAGGCTGGAGTACCCAAGAACTTGATGCTTCCAGGCTTTGAGTAATCGAACATTTCCTCGACCTCCTCAAGAGGCTTCTGACTAGTTTCTGGGAAGATGAAGAAAACATGAAGGGTCATAGCAACACAGAAGATTCCAAAAACGAGATAAACCTTCCATCTAATGTTGGCAAACGCAGGTGGAACGAAGTATGCAAGAGCGAAGTTGAAAGCCCAGTTAGCAGAGGTAGAAAGAGCGACGGCCTTTCCACGAATACGGAGAGGGTAAAGCTCAGGTGGGTAAATCCAAGAAACTGGACCCCATGTTGGTGCATATGATGCAACGAAGAGGTATGTGCAAGCAATTACAGCCTTGGATGGGGCCCCGGTAATAGAAATGGATTCGGCGGCATTGGCGAATTGTCCCTTGTATGGGACGGTTCCGTATGTAGCCAAGAGACCAGCGTTGATGAAAAGCCAAAGCATCATCAAGATGGATCCGAACAAAAGGACGGGACGACGACCTAATCTGTCAACCCAGATTAATCCAGGTATTGTCATGACGACATTGATGATGAACTGGATTGAGGAAGGCAAGAGAACATTGCTACCCAAACCAGCCATGGTGAAAATGTAAGTAATGTAGTACATCATGACGTTCATACCGGTAAGTTGAGACCAGATTTGAGTAAAGATACCAATGTGCGTTCGGTTAATCATATCGGGCTTGAACAACTCCATATAAGTAACGTCAGCGTTGGCTCTCTCGAACTCAACGACTTCTCTAATTTCGGCCAATTCCTTGGCGACGAATGGGGAGTTGGGGTCACCATGGCCATGGACAAGAGACAAGACTTGATGAGCTTCTTCCCATCTGTCTTTTCTAGCGAGCCAACGTGGGGATTCTGGCAAGAAGAAAAGAGCGAAGAAAAGGAAGACAGCTGGAAGCATTTGAAGACCCCATGGGATACGGAAAGCAGCGTTTCCTTTGAGGAAGGAGCATCCGTAGCAAATGTAGAACATGATGAGGATACCCCAGGTGATAGCCCATTGTTGGCAACCGACGAGTCTTCCACGCTTAGATGGTGGTGCAATCTCGGTGATATAGACGGGAACTTGAGCGGAGCAGATTCCAACCGAGAGACCGTTGATGATACGTCCGACGATAAGCATAGGAATGTTTTGGGCAGCGCAGACGATTATTGAGCCAAGAATCCTGTGGGTGCTTGTTAGGCAAGCCATTCATGTAAGACATTAAAATTGGGAATATTTACCAGATGACGGAACCAATTTGAATGGATCTCTTTCTACCAAACATATCTGAGATATAACCGGACAATAAAGCTCCAAGCCAACTTCCAGCGGGCATAGAAGCGGTGATACCACCTGTATCAAATTAGTCTTCATTACGATGGCAATCAAGAGCAGGAACCTTCTCATACCTTGAACGTCTGGAGATGGACCAGTGCACTTTCCATTAACGATTCCTCCTTGATCGAAGTAGCACAAATATGCCTCAGTTGAGATGATAGCGGACATAGACGAGATATCGAAACCGAATAGAGCACCACCCACCACGGCCACGGCCGCGATGAAGTAGACGTTACCGATGATCATCCTGTAAATTGGTGATCAGGTAACTAAACCTGTTCTTGAGTTGACAGTCGAGGTGTAGTACTCAGTGAAATAGAAGTCAACCTTCTTCAAGGCAGAACAGAAATTGATAGGGAAGAAAGGAAAAGCGAGAGTCTTGGTGATCGACACAAAGACTTATATAGAAAAAGAAAGTTGTAGGGTTGGGGTAATAATGGAGCACGAAAACTGTTGGAATAATGGAATCTGGAGATATAGCAAGTGGATTGAGAGAGAAGGGCCGAATTCTAGTTCTGGATCCTCCCAAGATTTACCTTTGAGCGTCAATCATCTCGGGGAATGCCCTTGCCAAATGAGTTTGATGGGTTGGCAAGACTTTGGGGTTGTTCTTTCCCCGCCATTTGACAGCTGATCGAGATCTCACTTGTTACCAGTATTTCTCGATTATACAAAGTTGATATGATTCGAAGAGTGAAGCTTGCCGTCTTCCAGATTGACGATACTGGTACTGATCATCAGTAAGATTCCTTCGAGTATCATCAAATGGGATGCAGGCATGACGCCTTTCCAGGGCCCCATCAGTCTCACACGAGGTATGCGGCGGTATAAACGACGATCTCTGAGCATGGGAGTGCATAAGCAACACAACATCTTCCACCTAGAGTGGACTTTGATCGGCGCTTGTCAGAGTATCTTATCTGCGCGCCAACTTGTCGACTGAATTTGTTGTTTTGAAAAACTGGGCCGAAAATTATGTTGGTGGATCCTTCCATTTTTATGGAGAGACTGGGGATTCGGGGAAGACTAGTTTTGAAAGCTTGTCAGTTGTTTACTTGGTACTACTCTATCCGAACACCTGGCCCGAAACAACTATGTCGGTTCTGTAAAGTTCTTTTCCGGAATAGTTGCAAATTTTTATTGGTAAACAACTATGTCGTTTTTGTAAAGTTCTTTTCCAGAATAGTTGTAGATTTTCTGTTGGTATCATACATATAGCTTACATGTTCTGCCTTTCTTGGGAACTAGTGAGAGGCATAAGACCACAGAAAAACAAGCATTACAAGAATTCCAAAGATCACCATCAAAATACTTAATGACGGTAGTGGCTCAATATTCCTGGCGTTTAATTTGAAGCCTTACAAGCCATACCCGGATGCCTAGAAAATTTTCAGATCTAACGATTCAATCCAGGTCAACAAGCAATAATAAAGCTTGTAATTTGTGTCATGATATCCGTTCTTCGAAATTCTAAATTCCTGGAGAAAGTTTTTCCGTCGAATGAAGGGGTGGTGGGTCCTCGTGCTTCGCTTCGCTAAAGTGTCTAGATTGGTATTGAATATAAAGAATGGGAGAAAAACGGCGAATCATGATTAAGATATTGAAGACGGTAAGATGATCCGAATTTCGAGGAAAGCCGAGGTATAGATGTCAGAGAACATGATTCCAGAGGTGTGCTGTTTTGGGGAGTCTATTCCGTGGTGGATACGAGGCATAGTTGCGGCAACGGTAATTGATTGTAGTTCATGGTACCTGTAAGAAACTGTGATTGCTTCATTTGAAAAATTGGATGGCCTTCTTGTCAGCCGGATGATCAAAATTTACTGGTCTAGTTACGTCCAGAAGAAGTCTCGATTCCCTCACATCGGAGATGATTCCGAGTAGTGGATCGAGTCGTGACTCTTGACGAGATAGATATTAGATTTGTTCCTCTTTTCTTTTTGACATCAGGAGATTGTTCGGTTTGTACCGGTACAGAAGGGCAAAGCGGTAATAGGTACATTTGTTGGAAGGAACGCTTGCATCGATCCGTGTTGGCTACTCAAGCTCCTGCGTCCTAAGCAAGTATTCGAGAGTCGTAATACTCAAGGCTCAAGCACAACACATTGCCGCTGATCGTTGTTTGCTTCTCTAGATAATGCAAGAAATGCGATTGGGGCAACATTACATGTAAATGGAGCTTCACAGATAATGTAAAACTTTGTTCATCGAATTTCCATGTCAGGTCGTTGACAGAGATGTGTACACGAGTAGAAATTGAAAGTCTTTCTCTAGTGTGCCTGGCTCGCCTGGGTATGCATCTCAGCTCCATAGCAATATGCAACGCTGAAAAAGCTCGTGTTTATGTTGTGGGGACTCCACCTGGGGGAGAAAGTGGGAGGGGAGAGCGGGTGAATCAAGGTCTCGTGACTCGTGACTCGTGATGGTCGGTCATTGGTGAACCTCCGTAGCCCCCGTGATTTACCACGAAATTTGGGAATCTTGAAAAACATGGAATTGATATGCCTACTTTTATCAAAGTAGAGCGTCGCCTATATGATATCACAACTGGTAACTGCAATAAGAAGGATGGCAGTAAGTACTCTGATCCCACCCTGAATTCCAAGTTGAGACTACTCTTTTCTTCTCGACTCCAAAGCTCCAAGTTTTATGGTGTTTGTGCAGTTTCTGTACATGAAAATTTTGCAAAATGAAGTCAACAGCATGCCTCTGAGTCATTTCTTGTGTTGGAGAACGAACATATCCGGCTGGCTCTTTTTCAAAGTCAAACATCAGAGGTAGATCATTTTCACCAAATATTCAACCATTTCAATACTGTAAGTAGAAATTTCTACCAAAAACCTGTCTCGGTTCAACCTCGTCAGCGAGGTGGCTCTCTCTAGCTTTAGCTTTTTGAAACAATCTGCGTTGCGAACACGAACAGCTTAAACGACCCTGAAATGTCAATTGCAACCACATCTCACTCGCAACATAATTCAATTGAGCTTCTAGTCCAGCTTGAACGATAAACCACTGAATTTACTAATCCTAAGCCCAATATAATACCATTTCGGCGTGGCATAATGTCTTGTAAGTATCACTTCTCCCTTCCGCCACAACCCCCTTATCAACTAACATTTCGGACAGTTCTCACAACAACCCACCAAACCCTCACTCTCACTCCTATTCCTCCTCATATCCCCAAGGCCCAGGTGCTTGCCCTACTACACAACCATTCGAAAATGATAAGCTTGAACCCCCTAGTCACAGCTCACACTCTCCTCCCACCCACGCATATCCTTGCCGTCGATTTCTTCAAAACCGAGCCCTCATCCCTTCAACCAAGCACTTCGTGTCCCTGTGAAATCTGGGAAATAACAGATGATATGTCCGCCGCGGAAGGAGACAATGGACGAGGATGGCGAGGCGGCTGGGCAAAACGTTTTGTCCCAGATCAAATCACTTATACATCGAGTCTCCAAGATCGCGAAGACGGATTAGTTAGTGTGACGCATGCGCCAATGGGGGTACATAGTGTGACGACGTGGATTGTGAGGGAAGCGGGGCCGGGGGAAAGTTCGTTAATGCTTGGGGAGGGGAGATTGGTGCTCGAGGAGAAGGGGGTTGTGAGGGCGAGTAGGATGTTGATGGGCTTCATAAAGACGACCTTGCAGGAGAGTCATGAGAAATTGGTAAAGGACTTCATGAGGGTTTTGAAGGGAGAGGTCGCCGATGGAGAAGAGGTGGAAAATGGGGTGAAGGGTGAATTGTAGTTCAATGGTTGGATAGGGGCTGACATGGGGAGAAGTTGAAATTCTGCAGGAAACACAGTTTGGCGCCATACTTGAATAAAGTAAGTAAAAATTCAGATATCTTGTACGGTAAGTTAGCGAGCAAATCACGAAATACAGAGCGAAATCTTATATGATTGTACACTTAGAACCACTGAATTTCATCACTTGACATGATGTCAAATTCGCAATTTCTTACACAACACAATTTCCCCATTAACTTACTCTCTATTGCTATTTCTATGCGTAATTCTGCCCGCCCTAATCTTGATCTTATCTTGCTCGCATCCAAAGTTGGGCAAATAATACAGTCTGCGAGGCATCATCCCATAAAGAAACAAGTTATATCTAGAGCGCATACCCAACCCCCCCCCCCAATCTAGTCTGCAATGGTCTATCTACATATACACATACTTTCAGGAGGCCTTGTATCAGCATGCAATTTCTTTCCATATATCCGCAAGGAAAAAAATCCAGTCTCACGCATCGAGTGTGAAGCTTCTGCAGACTTCGCTCGGTGGCACGTCAAACACTGTAGGTAGTTGTTTGGCAACTACTTCCATACTTTATACTTGAGAGTATCATGTCTCTAGTCTTCTTACTATTAGCTGCACTTCGTTTGTTAATAATTGTTTCTTCACTTCTGAGGGTATAGATCATAGGGAAGTACTAAGGAATGGGTTTGTGTGTTTTGATCCGTGGAGGATGTTAGAAGGAGAAGAGATGCAAGTGAATGTGTTGGTGTGCTTTTGGTCTTAATGGTGAGGATAATGAATATCTAATGTTTGGAGTATATTTTCAAGGCTGGATGAGGCTCGATGCTTGGGTTTGTGAGGTGGGAAGGGAAGGGGTTTGGGTTTAGGGGGGAGGGTTGGGTTTGAGAATTTCAGATGGATATTGGATGAATGTTCTGTATGAATATTTTGGATAGACAGATTGGTTCAGAATGGATTGTGTTCTTAGGGATATGGCTCAATATAAGTTGGGTAGATTTATGATTATTTCGGTGTTTTCCACTAGAACTAGATAGCTATTAGTGCGTAGTTGAAGATATTTCAGAAACTGGAGAGGAAGGGCATAAATAGAGAACCCCAACTCAAATTGACTCGGTATCTTATTTTTTTATACGGAAGATTGCGCTGTTGCAGAAGCTGAAGATATAGGAGGACATAGTAAATCATTTCATATATAAACTTCATAGAAAGATTTTATGTAGATTATAGTAAATACAATTGAACATTACATGTACACAGTTCCTAACGCTAACTAATTACTATTTCTGACGAATTACACATGGCGACATATACTAGTAAAGATAATCATACTCTTCCTTAAGTCTTCCGAATCCGATTCGAGGCTGATAATTTTCCACTCTGTTTCCACCAAAATCAAAGACAGAGTAGTGTCTTTCCAAGAAACTATGACCGAGAAGAGCAAATGTGCTTTCACCACTGTCATCAACAGGCGGCATACACTGTTCACCCGGTCTGAAAAACTCATCGCCCCTAATCGAAAACGTCACATCATTACTCTCATCCTCAGTCTCTCCGAATGTGAAAGAAATAGCCCATGTGCTATTCATATGCTCACACTGCATTCTTTCTTCTCCATTATGCAATTTCGTGTTATTCCAACCGAGATTGAAATAGAATGCGTCGATTATAGACGAGGGAATCGAGATGCGTCCGTCGCCGGTATCGAAAACAGCAGTTCCTGAGCCGTGCATGGGCCAGGTGGTATTAGATTTGGGTTGGGTATTTGCAGGTGCGTTTGTCGATGGAAGTTTACCGTTATGCACTGTTACGGTTTGATTTTCGCGAGCGACGAGGACGTTGACGGAGCGGAGGGGTGCACGCCAGACTTCATATGGAGTTTCCACGCGGAGAGGCATATACACTACTTCTCCATCCACATACACATCTTCATGACTTCCGCCAATTGTCAAAACACCATCTTGGACACCGGTGTTGTTGGGATTCGTTCCGTAGAAAAGAGCAAAACGCGTTTCATCAAGTTTGTCCTCCCAGAGAAGAGTCTCCACAAGCGAACTCGTCTGGTTCTGCGCAATGGAGGAGAATGCCAAGCCGAGAAATCCATCGGCGGTGATCCAGCGCCAACTGCTTTGCTCTGCAGCGATGAAAGTTTGGTTCCAGCTCAACGTTCCTTTTTCATCTGAAAATACATCAGAGAATACATAGCCGGCGAGAAAATCACCGTTAATGTATGGGATATCGGCATACTGGTGAACATCAACAGAAGTGGACGAATCCGAATCATTATATGGAGTTCGGACGAATGCGGAAAGCTCGGGACATGAAGTATCTGTGCAATTGCGTCCTGTTACCCAGGAAGTGGTAGATCCGGTATCGAACATCAATCTGTATGGTTTGGCTGGAGTGCCAACTTCAAGTACTACAGAGGACTAGAACAATGTCTTGTTAGTATCCATGTTGAGGTTAACGTAGGTGTAACATACATATGTATCTTGAATATGAACTGGCAAATCCAGAACAGCCGCCGAAGCAGCAGCCGCTAAGGTAAGTAGAGAGAAAGTACTCATATTTTCCGAACTCTAGGCAATGACTGAGTAAGGCGAGTGAGTGAATGTTGATCTCAAAACTATTTAGAATGTCACAAACCCTCCCATTTATATATATTTTCATTCCATCACGTACCAATACGAGCATTTAAAGGTTACCAAAAAAGAAATGTGGGGCGAATATGATCCCATTAGATGATAGCGTACCGGCACACACGAGAACCCCTTTACCGCCCAATTCAACATTCAACAGCGACATTCACTCCAGATTTTAAGCATGCTTTTTTGCTTTTAGGAGAAATTTCGGCACCGGATTTGTTCAGTTAATCTTTCTGAAACGATGCGATATCAATTGTGGATCTTAAGGGATGATAGTACAAGATCTCTGAACACCAAAGCCAACCCCATGAAAGATCAAGATTTGACTGCTCGAAAAGTTCATGCAGAACTACAAAGCGAAGTCATCTTTTGAGTATATTAGCACGCAGATTAAGATCAACTATAAACACATACAATGATTATCCATCTTTTTATCCCATGGGTAATCTTCATGGTTCTTGCAATACTAGAAGATTGGATTGTTGCGGGCCTATTTTGTTTGCATATTTCTCCAGTTAAATATATGTAAAGAGATCATGCTGAGATAGATATCGTATATACACATCGAGAATGGAGGCTGAGCGGACCATACTTGAACCAGATAGGGCTGGGCATTTGTACCCTACCCGGGGTATCTGGCCTCATAGGGTAGTATACTCTACCTTATAAGCTTTTATAGAGTATATATTTACTAAATAATTCGGATACTTGGGGTACTCACAAGTAAATATTATGTAATCATTCTATAATTATTATTTAAAAAGAAGGTTATTCCTAATTATATAATAGAATCAAAAACATTAGATTATATTATTCGAATTATATTATTGAAAATTTACATTATTCTATTTAATATATTATTTTATAAGTTTCTTTTTCTTCAAATAATTATATCAATTATATCTTTCTATATTAGTAGTAATAATATAATAAATCAAAATGATTTATTAGATAACTTATATTTATTACATAATAATGCTAAGAATACTGTTTTTGAATTTATTAATTGAAATATGCCTCTCCCTTTAAACAATATTAATAACAAATATACTAGACAATCTACTAGTAATACTTTTTAATATTTATAATTAGCTTTATACTTATTGAATATATTATCTCTTAAAATTATAAAAGCTTTCTTATTCAAAAATTCAAACCCTTTCTTTTCTCGATATATTTTAAAAGATTTAAAGTAAATATATCAAATGTAAATCAAGTCTATCTAATCAGATTGTATTTATATAAAAATTATATCAAGAATTATTAATAATATTAATAACTTCAAGCTATATTATTATAAAAAATATCTAAGTATTATAATTTTTGAAGATAAAAAGAAAGCTCAAATAACAACTCAAATTCAAACTATAGAAAATTCCAAATTATTTTTTTTATTTCTAAAATTATTAACAGATCAACATTATTATTACTATTTTTTTTTACAACTTATTATTAAAAACAACCTTTCATTCAATATTATAGATTAAATATAATTTAATAATTTTATTAGATTTATTACACCTACTACTAAAAATATATTATATCATTAACTTATAAAGGATTTGAAAAAGGATTTCGAAAATACAAAAGTAATCAAAACAAAAGAATTTCAAAAGTATATTGATAATAAAGGACATTTTTCATTAATTATAAATAAATAATCTAAACATAATCGATTAGATTATATCATTATTATTATACATTATACTCTTTCAACTAATAGTATTTAACAATCGATTCTTAATATTATTGAATTTATTAATCTCTTTTATATTAGTAAATATTTTATATAAAAGCTTTTTAATATTACAAATGATTTTAATATTATTAAAGTAATAATCTTAATTATATATAATAATATTATATTTAACCATTTTAAAAAAATAATTATTATAAATCATATAACTTTTTTAAAAAAGAAAAAGATAGAATATTCCATTTATTTTAATAAAATTAATAAAAATATTCAATATTTTAATTATATAAATAATATTATTATACAAATAAATAAGTTTTTTTTACTATTATTTTTGATTAATATTAATAAATTTATAAATTTGAATATGTTAAAATCTAAATCTTTCAAAATTTAATATATTTACGAATTTCAATTTAATCAAGCTTATAATCTATATACTAATAATATTCTTGTACATTTAGTATTATTTAAACTACATAATATCGTTTTAATATTTCAAAATAAAAGAAAATTCTATAATATATATAAAATTAATTTTCACCACCTTTTTCTTAATATATTAATTCATTAGAATTCTATTAATAATATACTTTCAAAAGCTTTATATTAATAAATATTTATTACAGCTATTTTAATTATACAAATTTGAAATAAATCTATTAAAAAGAACTTGTTTTTTATTAATAATAATTAACTAATATTAATTAAATTAAAGCAATTCTTATATATTTCCATTTGTTAATTATAAAAGCACAAGTCGATATCTATTCTACACTTCAAAATAAAATATCAATTTACATCCTTCTAATTCAACAAATATATAAAATAACAATTAACAACAACCATCCTACTCTTCAAATTATTACTAAAACTACTCTTAAAACACTCAAAAAATATTACAAATCTAATATAAATACATATCATACATAAATAATTTTAATCTTTAAT